ATAATATTCTATAACTTTCGTTACGAAGGGCTTCGCGACGTTTATTCGGTTTCTTTTCTTGGAACAAACTGTGTTTTAAATTAAAAAGAGCGTGAAAAACTTCTGTTTGAAAGAAATATATTGAAAACGAATACGAAGGTCTTCTTTATAATCGATGCGTGTTTAAATATTTGATTCTAATGTACATATTTATTCCACGAAACGAAACCTACAATTCTAATTATTTATTTTGGCGTTTCGGCGAATAAACCTGATTTCATGGGGAATAATTGAGAGAAGAGTACTTTCGATAAATGAGTTTACGAATATAATATTCTATAACTTTCGTTACAAAGGGCTTCGCGACGTTTATTCGGTTTTTTTTCTTAGAACAAACTGTGTGATATTTTATAAGTAAATTAGGAATAAAAAGAGCGTCAAAAACGTCTATTTGAAAGAAATATATGGAAAACGAATACGAAGATTTTTTTTCATAATCGATGCGTGTTTAAATATTTGTTTCTAATGTGCATATTTATTCCACGAAACGAAACCTATAATTCTAATTATTTATTTTGGCGTTTCGGCGAATAAAACTGATTTCATGGGAAATAATTGAGAGAAGAGTACTTTCGATAAATGAGTTTACGAATATAATATTCTATAACTTTCGTTACGAAGGGCTTCGCGACGTTTATTCGGTTTCTTTTCTTGGAACAAACTGTAATTTAAATTAAAAAGAGCGTGAAAAACTTCTGTTTGAAAGAAATATATTGAAAACGAATACGAAGATTTTTTTTTCATAATCGATGCGTGTTTAAATATTTGTTTCTAATGTGCATATTTATTCCACGAAACGAAACCTATAATTCTAATTATTTATTTTGGCGTTTCGGCGAATAAAACTGATTTCATGGGGAATAATTGAGAGAAGTGTACTTTCGATAAACGAGTTTACGAATATAATATTCTATAACTTTCGTTACGAAGGGCTTCGCGACGTTTATTCGGTTTTTTTTCTTAGAACAAACTGTGCGATACTTTATAAGTAAATTAAAATAAAAAGACCGTCAAAAACGTCTGTTTGAAAGAAATATATGGAAAACAAATACGAAGTTTTTTTTTAATAATCTATGCGTGTTTAAATATTTGTTTCTAATGTGCATATTTATTCCACGAAACGAAACCTTTATTCTAATTATTTATTTTGGCGTTTCGGCGAATAAAACCGATTTCATGGGAAATAATTGAGAGAAGAGTACTTTCGAGCGTAAAAATATACGCGAGCAGTGTGAATTTGCCGGGAAATTGGAAAAACGAGATGGTCTTTGCGTTTCAATATTTTAATATTTATTTCATAACTCATGGTTTTAATATCTTTTGTGGATCTCCGATGAATGCGCGCGATGTATTCGTCTCTTTTACCCCGTTTGTGGATAGAGGAAATTGCGTTCACATTAATTTTCCCATGAATACGAAATAGACGCACGCTCCCCGCGACGAAGTATGTTATATTTATCGTAACAATTTCCATTGAATCGAGAAGGCGAGTTACGAGACGGTTCTGCGGAAAGAATATTAAAGTTACCGTTTAAAGGAGCCGCTTTCAACAATTTCCGGAAACTTCTGATACGCGATGGAGCCATTTCCTCCAGGTTTTGACGAGGAAGTTATTTATTATGCGGCAGGAAATTTATCTCCCTTTGATCGTAAAGAACGGCACTATTATTCGTTCGTCCGGAACGAAGTACGCGTTTAATTCTACGTCATCGCGAAGATGAAAGATCTTTCGGGCAGAAAATAAAACTGTCCATTATTATAATGAATATTTGGTAATTCCGAGAGCAAATTCAAACCTAATTTTAATTCGTCAGCCTGAAAACGGAAATAAGAAAATATATGAAACACCGTGAACTGTTATCAAAGGTTTTCTCAAAGCGTGCCAAAGTTTCTTAATTACAAATTCCGTGGAAATAAAACATTTCGTATCCACGTTCCCTTTGAGCAGATTGCGTAGGTGAACGGGAGCAGAATATTTTTAAGAATTTCTGACTGGCGGACTCGACGAGCCCCTTTGATCTTCCTGAGGTTAAAGACTGTGTCGATCCTCTCAGAGAAACATGCACAAGGTAAAAATGCGCGGCCCCCGGTAAAATAACCTTGAACGTCTCGAAATCTTCGCAATTTCGCGAAATCGTCGATAAAATCGAGACGTTCGGGGTTCGATGCAGGCTCCGCGTCTGTGGCCAACGGAACACGCAACGAAACAATAGGGTATGCAGCAATTTCTCCAGCCACACGATCATCAATGGTGCTTGTAGCGGTCCGAGCTCACGCAATTCCGTCCTGATTAGCCGCGCCCGATGCACGGGCATATTTAACTAACTAATGCAGTTGCAAATTAGCTATTAGTAGGTGTTACACGCGGTGGCAGATAGGCGCAGTGTAATCAAATTAAACCGAATAGTTACTGTACTGTCTCCCGCGTCGGGAAACTACGTAACCCTGTTAGCTTAACTGCACAAAGTGCACGCGTCCGAATATGCGATTCCGTGTGCACGGGGTGTCCGCGTCGACGTAGGAATGCGAATAACATGTATAAACAGGATCGCGGTTACCTGAACGCCCCGCGAATCCCATCGTTCACGTCGTCGACGTCGCGACGCGGCGCAAGGTAAAATATCGAAACTGTCTGTCAAGGTGCGCACGTGGCTGGGAAATCGAGTTCGACGGGGGATTGCTCGATGCGCCGAAAGGAAGCCGCTTTGATTCCACGAAACGCGAGAAATCGCCTTGGCCAGAGTCTCTCAAACTGGAATCTACGAATTCTCGATGGTAAATCGTATATTAAAATTAGGAAAGAATGTTTAGTTTATTGCAGAGGGTCCTCTATAAAGTCAACAAATTTGTATTGAGATGGTATGATGAAGTTTGAGAAACACTGGTATTGGGAATACCAAATTATAGATACTTATTTGATGAATTGATTCTCCTTGACTCAATAAAACTCGCTATTTTTTTCAGATCCAAGGTTTCTTTCTATCTTTACCACCTAGTAAGGAACACCCTTGAAAGTATCTTCGAAATGTCGATATTTTCCGTCTCTGCCATTCTTAATTTAATCGTCGAGCAAAGGACATCCATAAAAATAGACCTAAGTTCATAACTATTAACGAAAGTGGATACGAATAGTGGAAGTCATTGGGTCAAGGACGTATCGCGTGTATTTTCTCTACATCGATGTATTAAGGATTTAGGAGGTAGTCTCAAAAATAAACCTAAAGTTTATAACACCGATATCTACAAGCAGAATCCAATGTACTAACGGCGGTAAATATAGGTATCGAGTGTCACTGGGTCAGGGGTGACACATTACATCTACTCGATGCCAGTATATTAAGGACCCGAGAGCACCAAGGAGGGTGGGTGGCGTGTGAGAATGTGTGGTCCCGTAACGAGTGGTGAGAAACATATTTGGCGGTTTCTACCCTTATGGGATTGCTTTAGGTACCACTTGAGTGCGCCTCGAGTATAGTAGGTGGAACAGATATAGCAAAGTACTCGAGGCAGAGTCAAGTGGTCTGTTAAGTGATACCCTTGCTGGGTGCAAACCACCAAATATGCTTCTCTCCAGTGGAAAAGCTGCCTGTTAGCTACAGGGACGTACTTAATGGATCTAGGTTAGGTTCACCTTTACTGTAAATTGTTTTTTCATATTTTTTAGGAAAAATTTCATTATATTTCGGAACCTCATCTAGGCCAAATCGGAGCAGACACTGGTCAGACAGTATTCAAGAGCGAATAATAAATCCTATGGTGTAATACTCGTCTCAAAATTATACACTTTAGAGGACGTTCCCACTTTTAGCTTGGACTACTGTATGTTTCAAATAATTCATGTAATATAAGGTTAATCAAGATTAGATCAGAATTGATTGTTAAGATGAAATAAAAATAGATACATTATTATTAATATTAACATCGCTAAAGACAGGGACTCTTCTTCTTCAAGGGCTGTTTTCTTCGACTATGTACTCGTCAGCTCGTTTAAATATTTTACAATATTTTATTGCGTTTTCCACGCGTAACATAATACTTTAGAATTGCTTCGAAGTCTGTAAAATCGCGAGTAGATACCGTCGAGGATGTTTTGTATGGCTCTCATGCTGGTTGCACAGACGCCGTTCCGGTTTAAATTCCGTAATTGAGAGCATCTTATGCAAACAGTTGCTCATACGTATGCAAATGGCAGAAAGTGCGTTCGTATCGATACAAGCGCGAAGGACACGCGCGAACCATTTAAACCGAAACAAGGGCCTGATGTTACGGAATGGAATTGGCGCACGAAACGAGCGGAACGCAGGGTGAGTATCGTAGGCAGAATATTATCGGTTCATTATACCGGAAGTTCTCTCGAAGGTTCCGTGCAGTTACAGTAAACCGAATAATCGCTATTGGACCCGATAAATGAGATCGAGCCACTGGAGCGCGTATCAGAACGAATTAATACTATTCGCATGAGATAAACAATCAAGAGAATTCGCGAAGAGAATGAAAGTAAAAATAAACGAAATTACGTAGCGTTTAAACTTTCTTCGTATGCTCGATCCAATATTAATTAAACGCCTTTTGTACAATCATAATTACAATTGGAAATCGTACTGATTGTATAACATAAATATTAGAGTAATTGCTCGTTCAGAAAATTCATCATTATATTAAATTCTGCAAGAGACTAAAGAGACGAAAAAATGTTTCGAACAAATCTCAGTGAAAATAATATAACAGAGGAATGTTTTCTCTGATCGAAATAAAATTAAAACATGTTTGTAACCTGTACTACAAATGTTTTAATTAATGTATTTATGAAAATGTCAGGTGCTCGAAGGCGTTCGAAGCCAAATAGTTTTGTATAAAGTTCTTCATGTTTGTAATCTCGGAATAAACAGGATCGAGCGTTTAAATAACGTCCGTTGCAGGTTTCGACAGTCGTAATGCGCTTTTGTAGAAAACTTAGGTACCTGTGTAAGTTGTTCTGTCGCTGCCTCGGTCGCGAGCCTGGCCAGGCCTTCCTCGTACCTTTCCAGGGCCGTCAGTCTGAGCAGCAAGTTTTGCAGCAACGCTGAAACTTCCTGCCTGGCCGCAGCGTCGACCGCAGCGATCTTCTGCGTGATGGACCTGACGTGGCCCATCACCCTCTCGTCCCGGAAATCGTATGGGAATGTTTCCGTCCATTCGGCCAACAGCTGCACCAGTCGCGGAACGAAACGCTGTAGACGCTCCTAAAACACGCGATAACCTTCCATTATTATAACGAACACAAAACTCTAAATCCGCGTCTCTGTCGTTTGCAACTTCCACTATTCTTTTGCGTGTGAAATTTTCTTTGGTTTCTGTTTACTGAATTTTCGAAAATGTTAGCTACATGGAGTGGAAGGTTCTCTCTAAAAATTTAATTCCATCATTATTTAATCTCTTAAAGGAGGTTCATGTTTTCGAAAAGAACAAGTGGATAAGCCCGCAAAACTATCAGATATTCCCACACGATTCGAAAATCTCACGAAACTCCATTAGTAAATATTACAGGGACTGGTTTAATTGGGTTCCCCATTGGTACCACATTGTGCAGTAGAGGGTTAAACACGAAGACAAAGAGGGTTCTCCGACCGAAGAAACGGCGAAGTGAAGCTTCAACGAGAGACACGAGTGGCTCGTTCAGACTTCGGAATTAACCCTTCGCAGACACAATGTGTCTCGCGAGGAACAGTCGATCTTTCGTTATTGAATTTACTCGGTAACGCGGGACCTGGAAGATTCGCTGGAAATTTTATTTTGGGATGCACTTCCAGTACTTCGTAAGGAAACTGTAGCATCTATATTTAAGCAGGAAAATTTAAAAGCGTAAGACCCATGTTCGAGCCTTCTCTGTGAGTTCAAATACATCTGATAATTTTCTGACAGGATTCTTTGTAAAAAAAGGATTGTTGCAAACACCAGGACACGCTGTTCCTTCCGAACCCCATAGTAAGAAATGCCCCCCAGTTGTCAAAAAAATATAGTGCAAAGTAACGGGTGACGAAATTGGAAAAAAGGGAAAAGTACAGAGGAGAAGGGTTCAGAGGGGGAGTGGAAAATTCATTTGCGAGCGAGACTTTTCTGGCCTGGATACGCGTGCTCGTTATTACAACGCGGAACGTGCCGGGATGATTCTCCGGAGGGGGTGAATGCAAAAGGGGGTCGAGCCTGCGAGACGATGAAACGATAATGCACGCGGTGGCCGTAAAGTGCACGCCCGGAAGGCTCTCGGCGGGCTTTTGTGGGACGCGGGATTCGTGGCTCACCTTGCCACCCTCTCCATTCAGGTTTTGCTGATGCTCGCAGAGGGCGCAGACCTCGCCCAGGAGTTCGTGCGGCTTGATGAAGAGCCTGGCGCTCAGCAAAAAGGCGAAGAGGTACGCCCGATCGGGATAATATTCCTCGGTGGGCACCATGTGCTGCACCAGGGCCTCCAGGGACCCGGAGACGAGGTTCCCGTCCCGGTAAACCAGAGCCTGAAATGAAACACGGAATTGGTTAATTGATCGAGAACGGTTCGAGGGATTTAGGGGATGCTTTAGCGTCACGCTGCACCGGTGAGAGAGACGCTTATGTATTACGCGTGGAGAAGCCTTCTGACGTTGAAAGGCCCGCATTACACTTCCCATAAAGCGCCATCCCTGCCGGTTATCATGAACTAATGGTATTGGAAACTGTAATTTTTGCTCCAACAGTTATACAAGACACAATATAGATGTTAGTTTTTTTCCATTTCTCTACGATCCGGCTGTGAGGATATAAATAAAATAAAACATAGTTTTTAAATACTAAATTTAAAAATATATTCTCGTAAATTAACACCGCTTCAACGTATCCGTGGCGTTCGAAGTCGCGTTAATAATCGACCGACGAATATACTAATTAATGTAACAGCGTCGTCGAATTAAATATTCCAATCTGATTTCCGGAGGAAATACGCAGCCATTCGATAACATCGTTAAACCGATGCTCAACGCGAGTAGAATTTAAATTTCATTTCTATCTCAAAGAGTTCGCGAAACTGGACGCTGATGACTCGTTACGGGGATGCGTTAAACTGAATGTAATAATTATTGAATTTTGAGTCCAGTGCAAATTTGGAGAGGGAAAACATTTTTAGCGTCATATGACGTGCATAATTATAAAATTATATTACAAAATAAACGTATGAAAAATATAAGCAATTAGAAACGCCATTAATTATCGAAGTTCTATCACTGAATAAATTTGAAGAATATTATACCGTATAAAACGTTTAATGTTTTGAGCAAACAATGGCAACTTCTAGAAAAAGGAAAGATCTGTCGAGGTTCGCGGGGGACGAGGGATCGACGAAATATGGCCGAGACGATGAATAAACGAGCATCCCCTTGTCGTCTCCGTTAATTTTCGCGACAGTTCCAGCCGATCTCCGCAACGTCGGAAAACTCTTTCAAGTCTGTACGTGTACGAAATTAGAAATTTGTTTCGGTTCCACGGCCGAATGCCTCGAGCTTTTCAGTTGGACCCCGTAGGAAAGTTTGTACCTGCGCCCTGTTAAATCTGCGAGCCATTAAAGTTGCGCCGACCGGTAAGCCCGAACAACTCACCGAGGATTCAAATGGCTTAAACTTATCGCGGGCTAATACAGTATTGACGGAGCAGAATTCCTGCCTCGTAAACTTGCCACTGGTGGGGGGCGGGAGGGGGAACACCGTCCGCCCTGGTGCACGAGTTTGATGAAAAACTTGCAGCCTTCGTTCGAAATTTATGCCCCGGAGTTTCGTCCATTTCACCCGAATGCAAACGAACTCGGCACTGTAAGGAAATCTTGCGAACTTTTTTCACCATTTCTCTTTCACGGTGTCTCGTGCATACGTCGTTTCCGATGTACCGTAAACGTGCATCGCGCGATATTATTTCGAAATGAGCTCGATTTTAAAATTATATCACTTTGCAAGATACACGTTTTTCCTCTAAAATTTATTCGAAAATTAGAACACGTCTTGTAAAAATTTTTATAGGAGGACGTCTTCTTATTTTGATATATCGAAACGCATTGGGGTTCTTCGACGGTGTAATTAATTTCGTAAAAATTGCCAACGCGCCCGTCGTTCCCCTCCATCGGAGTTCTGTGCTTTGAGAAACAATCGTTTCGTGCTCGCTCCACTTAGCACAGGAGTCCCTTTTGGAAACCGTTTCCCCGAACAATCACGGCGTGCGTTTAATTGCGAGCCACCGGGCGAAGAAAGGCGGAAAACAAATCCGCGAAACCAGGTCTCCGCGTTTTAACTAAACTTTTGTCGTCGCCGTAAGAATCGCGGGGGCTATTCAGCGTTTCGAGCCAGCGTCGTTTCTGTTTGCGCGGGGGAGAAAAAAAAGAGGAGGCCGAGACGGAAAGAAACACGGTTGGAAAACGGTACGAAGAAAACGCGCGCGGTCCACCCGTTATAAAACATTCCAGCGTCACCGGGCTGTCCGAGTTTCCGCGAGCTGGATGGCTGTTTTTCTTTTCAGCATCGATCCCCGCTGGCGAACCAGCCTGCTAGACGCTTCTGCCTTCTCCTGCTCTGTGCTTAAAACCGCTTTTGCTCGTTTCGTGTCTGGCTGGGAACACTGTATGCTAGTTTATTCCGATAAGGGTCATTCGCCGCGCTTAGTTTACAAGCGGCGTAAACTCAAAATTATTTACAATGCGTTTCTTGCTAAAGTAGACAGTATTAAGATTTTTTATTTTATTTATCAACCTATTTCAGTTTTATTCGTACGAGATAAAAGCCAATTTTATATCGTAAAAGAAACCTTTCTCGTACGAGACTCGAAGAACGTGTCTGACTATTATTTGGTATTTCTACTTGCATCGGTGATTGTCGAGACTGTATTATTTGATTTTAGGACGATTGTACTATCTTCTAAATAATTAAAATCAATTGTAGATGATACTATAGCAACGTCAATTTTTAGGAACATCGACACAAGTAGAAAGAACGAGGATTGGTCAGACTCGAATATGTATTTTAAAGATTAAAAAAAATACTGCGATGAATCTAGCCTAACTGCTTCATTTTTAACTACTATTCTACCGAGGTATCTTATTAATTTTGTTTAATATCTGGTATTAGTCTCAGTCAGGTTTAAAAATGTTACAAGTAGAAATAACGAGGAATGGTCAGACATCGTGGGCTTGCTTTACTAGATTGAACGTGTAGCTTAGGGATTTAACTTTTATATTTGTGATTTATATTTCTGTGATAAATCTAGTCTAACAGCTTCGTTTTTAACTACTATTCTACCGATGTATCTTATTAATTTTGTTTAATATCTGGTATTAGCCAAGTTTCTCGACTTTTCTCCTTAGTAAATGTACATACAAGTGAATGATATTGAAATCTCTGAATTTTGGTGGTTTTTTAAATAGATACCGTTGATATAACCGAGTCAAAACTAACACTCAAGGCCACTTAGGTGTTATTCTTACTATATGTTCGTACTAGAACGCCATGGTTTTCGTTTCTTCTCGCGAACCTGCAGTTATGCTGTCTCCGTTTCTCAAACAGAGAGGGAAGCTATGATAACATGAATGCACGGAGTCGTGAATGTTGTGGTTCACAGTCAGAGATAGCATTGAGCAACTGACTAAGTTTGATCCAACAACAGTGTAACGTCGAAACGTTATTTCACGAAATAGTTTACAGCTGCAAGCCATGGACAATGTTAACTGTATCACTCCCTGTCACGAAGATGCAAAAATTTCTTTGAACATTAAAATAACTAATAAATTTACATATCTCATCTAATATTTATTCACTCGTCGCAATTATGGAACTTTATTAGACACTATTTTACATTTAATCGTGACAAATTCGTGGCTATATTGAATCGTACTATATTGTTGCATAGTACCACTCTCGACGTCTAATTTTGCTCGAAAGTTGCGTTCAGCCTATAAAATGAGAACGACCAAGAAACAATGACAGTGAAGTCGTCTTAATTAGTAGACAGCTATAATCGAGCGGCGACGATTTCCGTTTTAAGGAGGCAATAAAGCAAACGACTGGAAAGTTTCGTGCTGGAAATCGTCTAGATATTTCCACCATCGCTGTCGTTTTGTTTCGACTTCTTATTATCCCCCAACCCCTTGTACACTTCTGCTCGTCGTTTTCTCTTCTTTTAACCGCGACTCGGGCAATTTCATTGCATTTCTAATTATACTTTAATGCGAAACACTTTAATAAGCATCCCTGTTTTCTTTTTCGAACGGTGGGAGGGGGGAGAAAAAAGTGGCAATTTTCTTGCAGTTCGCGGTTCGTCGGTTCTGCCACTCGATTATTTGGAAAACCACCATCACCGTTATTGCAACTTTCGAAACGATCCAAAAGATTCGCAACAACGTGACCTGTTTCTGCTTTTAATTAACGTATTCGCCGACGAGAACCTTTTCTTCGTTCCGTGCGCTGCGAAATGTTCCAGAGAAACGTAATCGATTTACGGCAAACTCGATATTTTCGCGCTTCGAGCGACATGAGACGCTCGCGCTCGAGAAATTCCGCGTAAACTTCGTTTCTCGCGTGAACGTGGCCTGAAAGATTCGCGTTTCACGTCGAAGACGATTACAAACAGCACGAGTCGACGCGATTTGACACAGCCTCGGCCCTCACGCCGCCACGGAAAGTATCAGTAAAGAAGGATCGATAGGAACGATAAATTGCGGGGGCGGTGCATCTTCCGGGGCATCGAGGAAACGCGCTCGTAATAAGTGATTGCAAAATAATGAAGAATCTTCAAGAACGATGAGGATCGAGGGAAATTTATCCAGGCTGATGGAATCCATTAGCGCTCGTGAGCCTTTTATTTCAGAAACCTTTCGCCGCCGGAAAGATGTATACGGAGGGTGAATGTGAGAACCTACCGAACAAAGTGAAGCAACTCAGTGAAATTAATTGGCCGAGAAACGCCTAAAGCACGAGGGGGCAGTGCATCCATCTTGGGTTTCAAACAAAACAGAGTTGCCAAATAACTGTTACGAAAATTTATGTAACAAACTCGTGGCAGGTCAATTTATAATATCATTGAGGCCTCAGATGAGCGATAGCGATCTTTCAGGGCCCTTTTGCAGGCTCAGCTTTTTCATAAATAATGTAAATTGCACGTTTGATTGATATCAGCGAAGGATGGCTTCTCTTTATTTCGGGTGAATTTTATTCTACGAAGTGTTTGCGACGAGGGTTCGAAAGAGGAATATTATTCATCACAAGTTCACAAGGTTCGCTTAAAAGGAGAAATTTTAAAAGTTTACAAAAATAAATTCAGATTAAGATCACAAAGTAATCGATGGTGATTGTTATGTATTTTATAGACCTAAATTTGCAAGCTTAAATCTATTTTTTGAGCTTAGAATCGGAGACTTCAGGGAGGGGACTTAACACTATCAAATTTTTACACCAAAGAATTTAATTTTAGAGCAGAGTTCATTCATACTGTTCGTTTAAAACAAGAA